CCAAATTTTAGCTCCAAAATTCATGCTCATATGAACTACATCTACAACATTTGAGATGGCAAATTTTCTAACAAAATTTACATTCAAAGAAGCAAGAATAAAGCTTGTAACAATTACAACATTCAAATCACAAACTATGAACTACAAAACCCAAAAGGATTCACCAACTACTAGACTTAGGCTCTTGATACCACTTGAAGGAAGATTTGTGAAAACCATGTTCATTTAAGCAACATCAATAGCATGCAATTAACAATTAAAGGCGGAATCATGCTTGTATGCACTTAAAAACAAAACATTTACCCATGAAATTCAAAGCCTAGTAGATAGGTGAACCAAGACTCAACTCAAAACAAAGTGAGTTGAGAAATCAATACCTTTGTAGATTCCTCTTTGCATAAGCAAAGACTAATCACACAAAGAGAGGACCTTCATTCCTTGCATCTTAGATCCATGGATTTGGATGGATGAAAATGTTTCTCCAAGTTCCCAAAATTGAGAACCTCTAATGATTCATCACCAAGGCATAATGAAGAAGAAATGAGTGACCTTGGAGGAGTTTGATTGCTAGATGATCCCTCCAAGGTGGCCTAAATTTTAGAGAGAAAGGAGAGCTTGTGTTCTCATCCTTTCCCCAAAAATTACCGTATGTAAATTTTAGGCTATAAAGTCCTTTATATAGTCCCTTCAAATAAGTGACCTAATGGACCAAAAGCCCTATTCTTCTAACATGGCAAGCCTATAGGGTTTATTGGGCTTTCAAGCCCTTTGTTTATTCAAGTTGTCATACAACTTGAGTTAATGGGCTTGACATTCAAATCTCATTGGGCCTTGCGGCCCAAAACTAACCCAAGGTCTTTAACGAACTTATTCGTTTGATTAATTAACATATTAATTAATCCTAGCCTTAGATAAATAATTAAACCATTTAATTATTCTTACTCATCTCCGTTGTTTCTTCAAACTTTACCTTACTCGGTGAACGATCCATTAGGTTCCTTTTAGCGAGGCAGTGGGCGATTAAAACTCTTTCTAATCGATTGTGAATTGAAACTTACTTTCAATTCTCCCGTTAGTGATAATACACTTTTAGGGCTTCCACAAACCATGGTTGACGCCTAGCAGCATGTCATGGTTACCCAAGCTAATCAGAAGAGGTGGAGAACCTATTCAGTTTTAGGATTACAAATGCAATACGGTCTTTCTCTAATACAATACTCTCGACCACATTGTTTGGTTTGATAGTTTATTCATGTCTACTATCCAATGTGAGTCTTGTGCTTATATGATTACCTTGAACGTGATTTGGAACACATTCCTAAATCTCATTCATACTTTGGCCAAAGATTCAAAATCATATCATAGAGTATTCTCCCTCAAACAGTTTGAAGGTTAGAGATCCCTTGTTGCGCATTCACTTGCCTCCATGGCTAAGTGGCTTAACCTCAACGATGCCTTGGACACCCTCATGATGGAGTGACTTTGACATAATCAAAGATTAAGGACCTAACCACAAGACAACTGTGATGCCTCAGGTCAAAAGACTAATTTGCATTATCCCAACCATGAGTTCTCATGTGACATGAATATGAGAACTCTTCGTTGATCGTGTTCAGTGAACTCATTCTCTATTGAGCACCTACGTACTTGTCTTGATGTCACACACACCAATGACTCGAGACTAGTCACTCTCCCTGAGAGAAGACATAGCACGTACTGATCTTAACGGACTGTCAATGCCCAATTGACAATCCTATGATCAGGAACGTTTAGGATGTGTCAACGAAAGAATGGTCTCATGAATCTAACTTCTTTAGATCGCATTCTTCCAATCACATATTCCTTGGACTTATCGTTTAAGCATATAACATTTATATGAGACGGCTCAAACAATAATGTTTGCCCTTTACATTTAAACTACATTAGTTTGAAATGTCCGTAAAGTATCATCATATGATTGGTTTTAGGGCACATTTCCAACAGAAAGACTTCTTCAACTCCTTAAGAACTTGTACAGTGCATCTCCGAGACATGGCCTAGTCGCCTTTGATCTTTCTGACTGCTCCTCCCTGGATGCGAAATCGAATTTTCTGTTACTCGATCGAGGTTACAGCTCCAATCTTCATTAGCCAGGGTTGGCCCAATATCCCGTTACGATGAGATAGGTCGCTGACGATCATGAGGGTCTGCAATGAGACAATCGGTGGGCTGGTTATGTCAAGTATGATAGTGTCAATGGTAGTTAAGGTGAGTCCGTTGAATCCGGTCAAGACCTCTGCTTTGCGTTGGATCGTGTTTTCCAGGGCCATCTTTTAGATGACTGACAGTTGTAGGATGTTGACTGAGCTGCCATTGTCCACCATAATTCTATTAATGATGGCGTGGGCCAATTGTACAAAAATCACCAAGACGTCGTCGTATGGAAAGTCTACTCCCTCAGCGTCCTGCTCGGTGAAGCTGACGATTGGTCCAGGTACAGCATCTATGGCTTGAACCTGATAGACCGATCTCACCTTCTGGATCTTCCTCTTTTTGGAGTTATTGGTGGACCCCAGATGCTCGAATTCGGTAAAGATTATGTTGATTCGGATTGTCTTGGTTGGGGGTTCAGCATCGGCATTTGCTTATCACCTTGGCCAGGTAGCTGGTCTGTCAACGTAGTGGTCGCACTTGCCTTCTTTCACGAGCTGATCAAGGTACCTCCTCCATATGATACAGTCATTGGTTGTGTGCCCAAAACCTCTATGGAATGCACAGTACTTGGTCTAGTTCATCCCAGAGGTATCGCCCCTTATAGGTGACGATGGCTTGAACCATGGCTTGTCCTTGAGGTCGCGAAAGATCTAGTTGATCGGGACTAAGAACTTAGTGTACATCTTGGGCGCTGTGCCTCCCTTTGTTGGGGACCGGTCCCTGTGTCTGTCTCCTGCTTACTTTTGTTGTTGAGTAGTTTATCACTTGCCTTCTTCTAAGTTGGTTTCGCGTCTTTGCGCAACTGCTCAGGCAGCTTCTAAGAGCGTTTTTCCTCATCCCAGAGGGAGTGCTTTTCTGCCAAAGCATAAGAGTTTGTTAAGGATAAGCTCTCGCCCATAATCAATTCTCTGAAAAAATGGTGATCTGCTAGGAACCCCTTTCGGAAAGTTGAACATACGATGTTGTCATCGCATCCGACAATCTTCGCCTTCTTTGCCTTGAATCTCTTGACGTAAGTGCGAAGTGACTCTTTCGGGTCTTTCTTCATGTTGAAAAGGTTGTCAGACTTCTTTTTTATCGAGCGGTAAGACGAATATTCCTTAGTGAAAACCAAGGAAAATTCGTTGAAGTTCCGGATTAAACGTGGCAGCAAGGTGTGGAACCAATCTTGAGCCTCGCCTTGGAGCATCGTGGCAAAGATCTCGCACATGAGAGCGTCATTATTAGCATAGAAGGTCATGGCATTTCGGTAATGCATCAAGTGGCTGTTCAGATTTTCATCTCCCTTGAACCAGTGAAATATGGCGGGTTGAATTTCTGCCGTGGCTCCATCTGCTCGATCAAGTACCAGGTGAAATATGACGGGTGACCTACTCGGGTTGGCCACGTCTCTACTGGGGGCATCATCGGTAGTGTCAATTTGCTGGAATCTATACAGCTGCTCTGCTACGAGCCTTTGTACTTCCCCCTGGATTTGAGCCTAGTGGGGCAGCGGAGCCTCGAGCTGCCCCTGGTGTTTACCTGCTGGTCCATGTTGCTTTTTGGCATGTCCTACTTGTCTGTGCAGCATTTTTGGTGCACACAGTTCACCTTGTTCTGCTCACCATTGTTCTTGGCGGGGGCTGCTAGTGGAACTTAAGCTAGACTACTCACGTGCTCTTTTCTGGGCATGATACGACTGCCTACTCTGTTGCCTCATAGAAGGATCTCCTTGTAGGCCTAGCCACGTGTGGACGCTTCTCCCAGAATGTCTTGAGTATTCATCGGAGTATGGACCCAACCTCGAATACACACTAACTTGTGAGCCGAGTCAGGAATGAACGCTTCTCTGCGCATCTAGGCAGGAGAAGAGGTTTTCCCGAGGACACAAACAAGAGTGCACACTACCCAAACACACGGTTCGTGGCAGGTTGAGCGGCTCTTTGCCGGGACATCGCTGGAATAAGTCACATTCTTCTGCCATTGTCTTACTTCGGGACACCTCGTTTGGGGCTCATTGCATCTCGATGGGCTAAATGAGTTGGTTCACCAAAGTGGTCTGTTGTGTGAGGGCGTTCGCCATTTAGATTGGATGAGTCTGGATGATTGATGTCTCTTTGTATGGTGGAAGTTAGTGGATTATAGGTACAAAACTTGAGCCTAAAGCAGGCATTCTTGCAGAAAAATGGGGTGAAAATAACCTTGAATCGATCGTGCGACCTATGGTCGAAATCTGGATCATTGAAGGTGGCCTTGAAATGAATTGGGCCATAAGTCGGGTTGTCAAAGTGGGTTGCGGGATGTATTGGATCGGCGTTTGCTCGCCTTAGGCCTGCATAGCCGTGGGCCCTCTTGGTCGTTGGGCTGCTACATCATGGTCTGCTGGCTAGGTGGCTTGCGTTTGGGCCCGTTGAGCTATCTGGCTAACAGCAGTTGCGACATTCTGGGCCCGGGTTTGGGCCTATTATGCATCAAGGTCTACTATCGCAATGGGCTGGGCTTCCTGCCCATGGGCTTGGAAATGGACCTGGGTCTCTTGCCTAGGATTTACCTGGTGCGGCGCTGCAAGGGCAGAAGTGGTGGAAGTGGTGGAAGTGGCCTGGTGACCTTGTCATGGCTGCTAGGTCACGATGATGGTGGTGGCGCGGCTCCACGACGGTGAGGCTCTTCTTGTTGTCGCATTGAGCCTTAAGGATTGCCGTCGTGGGGTTATATCCTCGTCTCCACTGTCCGGTCCAAATCCTTTTTCGTACGGGATTCCGTTCGTCGTTGTTTCTGAATTTCCTACCATTATATCCTTTCTCTAGGGATTGATCAAGAAACGTTTCTAAGAAAAATTAATTGATTTGACGTTTCAGAAATTTAACGTAACAGAAAATTCAAGAAACAAATGCGAGATGCTTCTTCGAGTATTTTGAATCAACTCTCAATGAATGCACCAATTTGTCAATGCAACTGTTTTCAGTCTTGACGAAAATGCACCTGCAAACAATCAACACATTTGATCAGAGACCTAAGCCTTACGTGCCCACGAGGTGGGGGGGGGTTAGGTCTGTTAGATGAAATCAAGTTTCCTCTTCAAATAGAAACTCTTCAGGTCGTTTACTCCAGTTTTTCACTCACGCACCAAGCACTTGGAAGTTGATTATCATTATGTAAGGGAGAAGGTGATTCGTGGAGAGTTGCTAGTGAATTTCATATGTTCCCAAGATCAAGTTGCAGACCTATTTAACAAAGGTTTGTCTTCTGCATGTTTCAAAATGTTGGTGTCCAAGCTTCCAGTCGTTTCTCGTTCTGTTAGCTTGCGGGGGGATGTTAGACAAAGTCAAGTTTCCTCTTCAAAAAGAAACTCTTCAGTTGGTTTACTCAGTCAACAACACTTATCAAGTGGAGCTTCTGTTAAAATCATTTGAATTTTGAATATTTGTTTTATCAGAATTGGTTATAGTATTTGAATTTCGAAATGTAAGCTTGTAAATAAGGTTTTTGAAACCTTGATGTAACTGAAAAGTGATTATAAAAAGGTTGCTCCTTACAATGTTGAGTGTATGCAATCACAATGAAAAACCTTGTGCAGTCTTATAGCTTTCCTACGTGTTTTACCTTCCCTGCAATCCTAGTTCTTTTAAGATCAACAGATCTCTAATGCCTAAGTTAGTTTCTCTGAGAGAGTAAAGTGTTTAGAGCTTTTTTAGGGTTGCCAAAAGCTCTGAAAATTTGGTAAAATATGGGGTATTTATAGGGATAAGGTTGGCCATAGTGTTTAATAGAGAGATATTCTCTATATATTATATTAAATAGGAAATAATATTTTAAGATAATGGTATAATTATCCTTAATTTATTTAATTTAGGATTACTTACTTGATTAGAGTCAATCTTTAATTAGGAATGTATTAAATATAGGATTTGGGTAATTAATCATTATTTTTAATTTCTTATCAAAGGCAGGTGAGCTGTGGGCAGTCGTATTTAGCTGTTGAGAGCATCTAAGAAACCTGTCCATTTATTGAGGTCAGTCTTGTCTTTCTTGAATAAAAATTCACGTGTCGCTTCTAGAATTTTTAGGATTATTTTAGGCTCCACAATATGCATACTAGCTAGTATATATTCATATTTCTGATTAAATGTGCGTGCATATATATATATATATATATATATATATATATGTGTGTGTGTGTGTGTGTGTGGATTCATTAAAATGAAATCTCAAAATTATTTAAAATTCCCTTCTGATGGCTTTCAATGCCATTTCCATGTTCATCATCTTCTCAAGACGTCTTATAGGTGCTCAAGATAAACATAATTTTAAGTCCATAAAACGAATAATCACAAATCAGTCAAACCCATATAAAAATTAGTCACAGTGATCCCCAATAAATCACAAGTTACAAAAAGAAATTATATCAAATGAACAATCACAATGGAAGACGAAATCCTAATTCTGCAATTCCACCAAACATTGAAACCCTATAATTCACAATTTTATACGCACCAAACCCTTAAAATAGAAGACCAGATCCTCATTCCTAAATTCCACAAAACACGAAAACCCTAAAACGCAAATCAAACATCACATAAATTAGGGAATCCACAATTTTATACCTGCTTATACTTCTTCTATCGCATTTCGTTCACCGTCTCAATGATGAACTCGGTGGAGAAGATGTTCGTAAGCTTGGCGCCGTAGCATTTGCTTCCACCGGTGGTCTTCTTCACTGTATCATCATAGTTGCTACTGGTCAGGAGGTGTCCGAAGATCAACTCCGAGACATAGACCCTCTCCTCTTGGTGAATCTTGACGGGAAACTCCAGTGGTGTTGTTGTAGACGCTGATGCAGTGCTGTTCGACGTCAATGGGCAGAGACAATGAGGACATGAGTGAGGGTAGTACCTGATGATGATTGAGAGCGAATGAGATGGCGGAGGTGGTCACTGTTGGGGAAACGGAGCAACGGAAGAGGAGAAAGAGAGGGGGTGACAAAGCGTAGCAGAGAGATTTGGAAGGATAATAGATGGACAGAAGACTTGCCGTTTGAGGCAAAATCGAAAACTCATTGTTTGGCCTATTTTAATCGAACTGGTTTAATTATTAAATAAAGTTATAATATGTTTTTTTTTATTAAAATTCAAAGTATTAAAATCATTTTCATTAATTTTTCTTATTTTTATTGTTAACACATCATATAAAACATTTGCATACCTAGCATAGCATTAGTCTTTTTCTTCTAGCATTACTCTTTTTACTTGCATAAAAGACCCTACTCTTTTTACTTGTATAAAAGTGGCTACGAATCATTCACGCGGCTTAGGTCATCTCCAACCAAATGATTCAGAGGGTCAGAGACTCAAAAATAACTTGAAACCGTCTCTAACCGAGGGTCAGGCCAAGGAGCTTGTGGGCTCCACTGGACAAAAAAGGACCAAAAAGCCAACTAGCCGGCCCAAAGCAGCTAGCCAGCTGGCCCTGGGTCGGGCTCCCATTCGAACCCCAATGGCTAGTTGACGTTAATTACTGTTGGTTTTTTAATATTTTTTTTTGGGCCAAAATATTTCTAAAAAATTCCCATTTTTCCTATAAATACCTAAGTTATTCCTACACCATTCCTCACAAAAATTTTCACCATTCCTACACCATTTCAATTCTCATATTTTCTTACCTCTTCTAATGATATTTCCTTCAATTTTTTCAATAATTTTCAAACGGCCTCATCTGCAATGAAAGCTAGGGCTTGGACCCGGAAAGAAGTTGAAGCTCTTTGCAGGGCTTATAGATGAGTGTCGAAAGATAGTGTGAGGGGGAGTTCTCAAACAAGTGAAGGTGTTTGGACTTGTGTGTCCAAAAAATACTTAGAGTTCTACGAAGGCACCACTCCATCGAATACCCGAAACCACGAGAGTTGTTTTTCAAGATGGAAGAAACATCTTCAGCCGAGTTTGAACAAATGGCATCAAGCACTTTTAGCAACTGCAAGTAGACATGAAAGCAGCGCTAATTATTACGACGAAGTAAGTATTTTCACAGTTTATTTTAAATATTTAATTTCATAAATTAATTTCCTTTAATTTTTGTAATTATATTTTTTAGGTACGCCAAGCGGAGAAATTGTATATGGATGGTAGCTCGAAACCCTTTCAGTTTTACGGTTGTTAGGAAATTTGTAAAAAATGAGTGTTATTTGAAGATCCACCTCAACCTAAAGTAAGTACCTCCGACTATACACCTATAATGACGGATGATGAAGACAATGATGATTTTAGATATTAAATTTAAATTGTTGTAGTTTTTAAATTTTAGTTGTAGTCTTTAAATTAAAGTTGTTGTGATTTTTAAATTTAAATAATAAATTATGTTTAGCTCTATGATCATTTGGCAGTTTTTTATGATAGAGCTAAAACGAGTCCTATGACCCTTTGACCATTGGTTGGATATAATAAAAAGTATAATCCTACATTATTTATTAAAATATTAATTTTTTGGAGAGCCAGATGACTAAAGCAATCTCTTTTACTATTTTTTGGTGATGGCCTTGGGACTTAAAGCCCCGCGGCCAAACACGAGAAGACAGCCGAGCCTGCGTTGAACAAAAGAAACCGCAAGGGAACGAAAGAGTGCGAGAAAGCAGAAGAAAATGAGCAGCGAGGCCAAAACCAGTGGCACAACTGCCGCCGGAGGAGGAGGAGGCGGTGGTGGAAGGGGATTTAGGGCGAAGATGGAGCACTACTTGTACAGCGGTGAGAAGAAGCACGTATTTGCAGGCCTCGTTATTATCAGCGCCGTCTTTGCCGTTCCTTGGTACCTCATGAATCGAGGTTCGTATCTCTTTACTTCTCTTTCGATTTATACGCCGCCGTTGTTGGGTTCTAGTGATTACAACTACGAATTTAGTTTTTCGAATTTTCCTACCTTTTCTTGGCAACCAAACACTGGAAATGTGTAAATTGGGGATCATTTGAAATCAATTTTCCTGGAATCATTTGAAATTTGTAGCAGTTTCGTTGGTTCCTGTTAATCGCATACGCGGGTCGAGTCTCCTTGATATGTATTCAGTTAACAATTAGGTTTGGATTACGCTATCTGAGCAGTGGAAATTTCTATTAATTTGCATTTATGAATTAATTTTTGCAATTATTCTTAAAAATTTGGGGCTCCTGTAACTTCATTAGCATTTTGTTCTGCTCGTCTGTTGTGTGAAAAGAAAGGGCTGTTTCCCATAGCAGTATGCCACTTTGATTTCACCATATTCTCGCGAAATACACGTTAACGATTTCATGGCAGTTTCTTTTGTTGATATCTGTAAAGCTTTGATTGAATGGTTATAACTCATGATGTGCCTTGCAAGAGTGATTTCAGACTCCGTTATCGGATTTTGTTTCGGTTACCTGTTGATATTGTTAACCATGTGTTTTGTTATCGGCCAAGTCTAATTCCATTTGTGTTCTCCCTCCCTGTAGGGGCAAAGCACCAATCTCATCAAGATTACTTAGAAAAAGCTGATAAGGCAAGGAGTGAAAGACTTTCTTCAGGGACACCCGCCGCTGCTAAATGATTTCACGAGTTTTATGTTGAAGGTGTGTAACTTTACTCTGGTTTTTCATAATGGTTGCAACTTGGAAGGTGCAATAGGTTTTTTTGCCTTCCTCAACCCGTTTTCCAGAAGAGTGGCTTCTCATGATCCTTGAGGAGTAATGGCTGTTCTGTTTACTTTTGTTTTGATAAATACATGTTTACGGTTATGAGGAATCGTTATGAATAATTAGGTTGTGTTTCTTGTCATGTTGAGGTGCACCATGATCCTTCCATGTCAGGAATTCCTTTGATTTCTAACTAGCAAGCAATAGGCTCCGTTTGTTCTCATATGGAGCTTGCATTTTATGTTAACTTTGGGTTAAATACTCGAGTTTCCAGACTGTTGAACCAAAACAAAGAATTCATGCATCAGTTTTATTAATTTTGTTGACTTGCACTCCGAGGTGTGGGTGTCGAATTTGTCGTTCGGTTGATGGAATTGATGTTTTTAACGTCGCGAAGGGAATGGAAACTGGTTTTTTACTCGGGAATTTTATTCGGACAAAATTTCTCTTTCTAAACCCAATTTATAACTTTCTTTACGTTGAATCTCTGTTTTATCCCACATACAAAATGCATTTAGAAAGGAATTAAAAAAAACGAAAAAGAAACCCAGCCAAAGTCACCTCAGACATTCGCCTCACCTCATCCCACTAGAATATAGAAGCAGTACTTCAACATCATAACAATAGAGCAATTAATAGATACAATCGAATTAAGCCAATTTGTTTGGGGCGGTGCCGTTAACACACCTCCGTTTACCTCCACACGCCCTTTGTTAATTTTTGTCACAATCTTCATCAAATTATTCGATCTTATTGTTGAAAATTATTCAGATTGCCTATTCACAAAAATTCAACTATTTTGTGACAAACCAATTTGAGGTTGAAACTCGGTGAGCTTAAATCATTCAACAGGAATGACAACAGTTTCTGCAGTCGAGGATTGTAGAGGGATTGTTTTAATGGAGGTGTGGGTATGGGGTAATCCGAGGTTGGGGATTTATTTATTTATTTATTTATTTAGAAAACAAACGATATTATGTATACTAAGTGAAATGAAGTGGACTTAGTATCATAATCGGTAGGTTATGGTTTTTTCTTTTTACACACAATTAGTACATGGGCGTAAAACAGAAATTTCAAGGTAAATTGAAATGTTGGGTCGGAACAAAATTTCTCTTTCGATTAATAAGAGAAACGTACATAGAGAATAGCAATAAATTGAATTTTCCATTATCCTTGATTGAGGTTTAATTTTACATCTATAGTTGCATCAATCTTCGATACTTGAAGAACCACACAAATGCAGAAAATATGCAAAAGCCGGTTACTCCTGTAATTATAAGTACCCACTCAAATGCAGCAGGCTCATCAAACATCGGTATTGTGAAGTTCATCCCAAAGATTCCGGCCACAACCCCAAACATTGCAACAACAAACGTCGCAGTTGTGAGCAGTAGCTCGAATTGAATCAGCTGGTTTCGAACGTTATCCTGACAGAAAAAACCTTTCTTTTGTTAAATTTATGTTCCCCCAATACAAACAAAATTTGAGGAAACTAGGGCAGAAATTAAGCATCCAACATCTTTGTTATCTTCGGCCAAGGAGCAGCAGAGTTAAATGACTAAGAACAGATAGAGAGTTGCTCAACAATTTCAAGTATTCAACCCGCCTACATTCTGAAGAAACGTTTCAGTAAATAATTGCCTCAAACGGAAATATTTGTAATACTCGATGTGTGTGTGTCTCTGTGTTTTTTTTATCTCTTCCTCCTAGGTTCAGGTTACGTTGAACAATGTTTTAGGCAATATTGAGAGACATTTATCCGCAAGAAAAAATTAAATAAATAAACAAGGCACGTACCAGTTGAATGTTAATGAAATCTTCAGTGTCGTCAATGTACTCTTTCAACTGAGACATGGCAGAGAAATGATATAAGCTTGTAACCTTGTCAAGTTAATATGACAAGAGAATGATTAGATTTAGTCATTGATATATATAGTAGTGTCAAGTTCACTTAAACAAGTTCTATACTTACCGATGTCAGCTTATTCAGGGTGCTATCGATGACGACGAAGTATGCTTCCAGCAACATCTCAAGCTCTTCTATACTCTCTGTAGCACTATCTGAACTCCTCATGCTTTCATGTCTACTCCTTGCAATGCTGAGGCTTTTCTCAAGCTTTCGGCCACCGGGAGGTGAAGATACAGGAGAAACAGGAGCAGAAAGAGATGCACCATCAGTAGATCTGTACCCCATCATAGATTGATCGCCATAAAATGCCGACTCCATGCGACTTTTCTTCTCAGTCAGGTACATCTCAGCCATATCTCCATCATCATCCATGAGCTGCTCTATTTCATCACGAACCTAAACAGAGGCAACTCAAACATCGGAATGAAGTTTTGGGGACATTTGGTGGCTTAAGCATGATGAAGCTAATAAGTGAGATAAAGATAACGACGCAATACCTTCTGAACTCTCCGGGTCAAGGCAACAAGTCTGCTTTTCAAACGACGAGCACGTTCCAAGTTCAGTGTACTGATCTTTGACGTGAGCTCATCCAGTAATGGATATGCTTCAATTTCTAATTCGGCTGCCTATACAATACACCATTAATAAATGAGTCGCTAACTCGGAGAACGTTTAGCCACCAAGGAGTCAAGGACACGATCCAAGTTCATACTTCAAACTACAGATGGTGTCTTCCAAAATTGTGTAGAGCATTAATGATCAATGAGCATACTGGAAATATAACAAATCCATGTAAACAGAGGACAGTAAGTCCGTTGAACACTAAAGCTAGAAACTGAGAAACAAAAACAAGTAGTTTTGTTTTGACAAAAACAGCTCTCCAAGCAGAAAAATAGCAATAATTGGCATTTCTTGAACTCTGAAAGATTAAAAACGATGCAAAAATTTGAAAAAATAAAACATCAACGTACAAATAAATGCAATATCTCTTTTAGCGAAATGGAAATTGCTGTAATCAACAACAATAAACAAAGAAACTTTGTAATTAATAGCATCCGTCAATGTTTGGTATATTACTCCCTGTGGAATTTCCCCAAGTTTGCAACTCTAAATTCTAAAGAGTGCTGAAGTATATCTAAAAGGAGATGCTAAACGTTAAACTACAAGTAAAATACAGGGGGACAAATGAATAACTCATTTCTTGTTTCCCAACTAAGTCTGCACTGTCTCATGCCCACTTACCAATGCTAGAGAAGGGTGGTGCTGATTTAATTTGAAAAGGCTCACTCTACCTCCCGTAACTTACTAATTATTTATAAAAACGTGAGCAGTAATTGCATAACTACATGTAACAGGTACATCAGGCATGATAATTATTTGGTCCTATAATCCCATCCAAGACTTGCAAAATCATACAAGTTGTGTTATTAATTCAGATATCACAGCAGATATTTTTCTACTTAATTCCAATATGATCACATAAGTATACATGGATTGTAGAAGGATAACCAAACAAAACAACTGTGAATAAATGGAACACTATTTTGATGACCATAATCATAATCATCAAAAGATTATTCAAATCACCATTGTTTTTCACTGTCTAAAGCCTCGTGTTTTCATTTTGAAACAACACACCACAGATAGCGCTATGTTGAGTGCTTGATGAATAAAATGCAAGGCATGCAAGGTCATCAAAGTAACAAGCACCAAGTGCTTAGCTCCAATCATCACAAAAAAATTTAAGCACATAACCGGCTGTGGCAATTCGGCAAGTATCATTATCAGTCACCAATAAGGCACCGACCTCAAAACTATATACATCGTTATGTAATGGACTGTCTTTACAAGTTCACTGACTTTCGGTATCCTCAGCAACTTCATCTCTTCAACTAGTGAACAAGTACAACCATAATATTGTTTGGCATCCAGTAGAGACAAAGAAAAGCGGAAAAAACAAAAAACAAAAAATTTATCTTAAATAATAACAATCTTTGGTATTACAATTCTACCTGGACAAAAGGGTACACAGAACCCTTGACCTATCACTGTAAAATAAAAGGCTAGTAGAAGTATGATTCAACATAACCTAGTATCCCACTAAAACAGAGAACATTTTTGCATTTGACGGACAGCACCAGATTTCAATGACCAAAACATGACATATAACGTAAAAGATTGACGATATATACTTGAGCTAAACAAAATGTGACAGATATGGTTATTTTGGTATGCACTCAACTTTTCTGTAATAGCATAGTTATCGGTTAAAACACCTATAATGCAGAATCCGATCAATTTTTAGAAAGCAAAGTTATCCAAATACTTTCAGAAATATGCACTCAAAGAAATAGTCATCATCCACATGTAGTAATAAGGAGAGTTATTATCCAAATACTTTTAGAAATATGCACTCAAAGAAATAGTCATCATCCACATGTAGTAATAAGGAGAGATAGCGAACCTAAATTCTTGTGCTCCTTTAAATACCTGAGAATCGAGAAATGTACAGGCAGCCTCAAGAGCAACTTCTAAAGCCCTAAACTCAAAGGGCAAATAATCAGGAGATGTGCTCCCAAACACACTATCAAAATTTCTATTTCCCCTCAGCCGATTTAAGTCAGAACCATCAGACTGCCAAACATCACCTACTCCATTTGTTGTTAATCTTCTCTGAAGCTCCACCACATACTGTAATACATAGCTATCAAGGGAATTCAAAAGTAGAACCTCATCGGCTGTAATAATACATCGAATCTGCTCTAGATTAACTACAATAGCTTTCTCTCTTCCAAGGATGGTTGAAGGATAAACAAATAGAGGATCAAGCAGCCGTAGGTCACGGGCAGGAAGATCACAACGACGCATCATAGTGAACTTATCAACCTCAATGATCTGAGAACTGCCAGACGTATCAACATGAATCCAGGACCGAAGACCCTGGCCCCGCTTCTTCAGCCCCAGAACATCCACACTTTGAAAAGGTTGCCTTCCAAGTGCGGATGGTCGATAAGATGCTTCGCGAAGGTTTACAGCTGAAGCAGGTTTTGGGACTTTTGGTGGAAGCAGCCTTTCTTTGAGGTCCTCCATTACCTATGAGCTCTCAGTGCTGCAACATTAAAAACCAAAAAAACTTTAATTGCAATATTACACTTGTCTATATACATACAAGTACCGGGACCAATGATTGCCAGGCCTTCTTGATTGAACAAAGGGAAACAAATTCCTCACGCCCATTTCGGTCCCAGAAATACACAGAGGTGTGAGGAACCATTTCCGCCATAAACGAAAGCACTTTCATTCTGTAGTTCGTGTCTGCTAGATATGATAATTATCTGCTGAAAGATTATATCTTAAAGGAAAATACAGAAACCCAATTAATAAAACATCATCAAAATTCCAAGAGAATAAATTATGGGATATAAGCATATGATTCAACAAAACCAAAACCATACATGGAAATCCAATACCAAAACTTGAAGAACTCCAATCCCAATCCCAATCCCATCCTAGTTCCACCAAAACAAAAACGAAAGCATCAGCAATCCAAAAGTTACAAGCTTGGCTCGAAGTCCACAATCCCAGTTTCCACAATATAAAAACACATAAACGGCATACCCAGATAAAATCTTGGTTGCTGCTAACAGCTGGTGGTTTTTGATGATCGTCAGAAGCTCAGCTCACAACTGAACAATTCTTGCGGACAAAATTGAAGAATCGATTGGCCTGGATAAGAATCCCAGCCCTAGATTGAGGAATCGAGAGGATTTCGGCATGCCCAACCAAGTTGCTAATTGAAATTCGCGGCGGGCGTATCAGGTGGTTTGTCTACTGGTTCGTTGGAGGAGGAACCAAAAGAATCACGGGAAGGGTAATGTCCTGGAGACAAAATCCTTCACTTTCAAAAGGTTTAATAATAATTAATTTAGGTTGGTTTTTTTTTTTAAGAAAACTAATGAAAATTTTGAAAACTTTGAGTTTTAACGTAACAACAAAATAAAAAGTAAAGTGAATAGTATTAGGTTTGATTTTTTAGTGTAAAAATATGATTTTTCGTTAAAGTAAACAGTACCGCGAATTTTTTTTTCTCTTTTTTTTTTAACAAACAATATTATTTACATTAAAGATAAGCTTAACATAACAATATACTACCAATAATGTGGTCCAAATTTGTCTTTGATGAGAATCGAATCTAAAACCTCTCACTTACAAATGAAGAAGAATACCACTAAATTAAAGTACTAAATAGCAATTAATTTAGGTTTTGATTTGTACAAGAGTAGAAAAGAACGTGAGTGAATCGAAACTACTAATGTGGGTTTGTAATTAAGCAGGGCGTGATTGGTCATGGCGGAGTCTAAGTTGGGTGAGTAAAAGTGGGGTGCGAAGTTCTATCAAACACGCTCTACGCTTCTCGAGTTAGTAAGGATTGAGATTTTCTCTGGGAAGGTGAGGTATTCTGCTATGCTCTATGTTTCTTTATTTTGTGGGGTTTTGGTTTCATGGCATGCTTCAATTGCTCTTTTTCTCTTTTGCTGTTCATACTGCCGCACGTCCTTTTGATGAGTGATGTGTTAAAGTTATGCCCTCCTACAATTGAACCAAAACCATTGCTCTTTTTCTCTTTTGATGATTTCTAATTGTATGAAACTTATGTAGTTCAAAAGATGATACAAGCTTTGAATTAAGTAGGCAGAGTCCGAGAGTTCGACTTGCGTGACTACGAAGAAATTGTCTGCGTCCGCATCAGGGACAGCGGAGCCGACGGCTTCGGTGTCTCCCATTCTGACATTGTTGCTAGGGTTGAATAGGGTAAAGAAGAGATCGTGACCGTTTCCGCATGAAAGCCTTTTTGGGCTTATGGGTGACAAAGGGTCAACGCTGGGCTCAAGTAATTTATCGAGGCTAGGAGTCGACGATCGGAGTTTAGGGTCGGGAAGTGGGGGGGAAGAAGAAGGAGGTTGCGAGTCAGAGTAGGATTGGGTTTGGGATGGGAGGGTACAAAGAGGAGGGAGCGAAGGGAGGGAGGGATGGAGGAGGGAGTGAGGGGAGGAGAGATGATCAGAAATCTAGGGAGCAGAAGATCAGCAATCTAGGGAGAGGAGAGAGATTTTTTTTTAATTATTAAATAAAAAATTAATAATTTATTAATACATGATATATTAGATTGTGATTCGATATATAGTTATTAAATAAAAAATTAATAATTTATAATTAATTTTTTTTTATTTCAGTTGATAAAGGAGTGGACCCCGCTACTGCCACGTCATCATTTAACAATCAAATTGACAAAAAATATAATGGAGGTCTGACATGACAACGAATTCATAAGTTAAAGTATGAGATTACAATTATAAAACATAAGATATGAGATTATGATTCGACCTATTGTTGAAGTAGTTTTGTGTAATATCCCAAAAAAAAAAAAAAAAAAAAACCTCTTTTTGTGGATGATAGATACTTGTCAACTATCATAGATTTTAATTTTTCCAGAGCTTTCTATCAGCTTTGGATTTACGTAAGATTCCATTAGAGAGAGGAAAAGACCTCTTGGCCGCGACCGGAACAAACCACTTCAGGGACAAGAGCCGGAGCCGGAGCAATCAGGTGAGGAGGATCACAACTGCAGGATGGGGCCAGAGCTAGCCAATTTTCATTTTAAATGTATGATAGTCTTCAACTGCAGAAAAGTAGTGTGGAGAACTAGTAAGAATTGTGTTTACCATCTAATTTGTAACACATGACGAAATTGTTTAACATTCTACATTTATAATATGTTCATTGATAACAATATACCTGTTAAAACAAACGAACACATTATCAACCCTTTCCCAGTCATCAATCCTCCAACACCAAATTCCTCACTTTTGAAAAAATTTAGCGGATTACCGCTATGAACAGCATATTCATGTTCCATCCATCCATAAGCTTGGGGTAGTAATATTACTCGTAATGATAAAAGAAAATTAAGGAGAACCCCAATTTGCAATAGTAATCTTGACACTCTTCATTTGATTTGCCGAGGCACCTCAGAGAGCTATGTACATAAAAGGACAATTAGATCCTCAGTCTGCATTATATACATACAAGAACAACCTTCTTTAGGTTGCAATGGGATTAATTTGGACTTAACTTAAACCCATGTATTCACCTGATTAATTACAATTCTCCCTCAAATATAAGGATTAATGTGAGATGTGTAGTCTCTAATTCCAGCTCCTTCCCATCCCATCCATTCCTCCCACATGTCCCAATCCGGATCGTTCATTCCCCTCATCGGCTCTTCATCCCCTTCATCGTACGTCTCATACATCTGCAATGGAGTCGTCGTTTCTCCTCTCAAATTGCTCATAACAATCTGCGCAGACACATCAACAAAGAGGTAAATCAGATAAATATTCTGGTGTCTTGTCTCAGGGAGCACACAGCATTGTATTGGGACCATACCATTTGATAAAACATCATAATCAGAGGCTTATCCCGGGGATGAGGATCCTCTTTCTAGGATCTTCACTTCCTACCCGTTCAGCGTACATTGTGCGGCCAACTTTCATTAGGTACTGTTTGTGTTTAATTTTAAATGAAAAAAATTCAAAATGATTTTTGACATCACGATGAACGTATTCGATATGAGCATCCTTAGGATCCTCAAGATGGGATCCTAATCCTTATCCGGAACCTAATACCTAAGGACTTGGATTGTCTGCCCTCCTCATCCCATATCATTCTCATCCCTCCTATATTCTATAATCACAGTTAAGTCACGTCAATATTTTATATTACTTTTTTTTTATAGAAATATTAAGACAAAAAGTAATGGGAATATAAAATTTTGACATGGCTTAACCGTAACCAAATAAATAGGAGGGGATGGGAAGGGTATGGGATGGGGAGGGCAGACAATCCAGGTCCGTGGATTGTCTGCCCTCCCCATCCCATACCCTTCCCATCCCCTGCTATATTCTGTGGTCACGGTTAAGCCATGTCAACATTTTATATTAATTTTTTTATAAAAATAAATGTACAAAAAGTAATAGGAATTTAAAATATTGACGTGATATAACCGTGACAAAAAAAAAATAAGAAGGGATGGGAAGGGCAGATAACCCAGGTCCAATACCTAATACCACAAAGAATTCCGAATATCTCGAGAGATGCTTATATAATTCAATGTGAGAGTAACCCCATTACATCTACATCAACATCATTCAAACTTCATACCCACACACAAGTCACCATTTTGCTGCATATTTTTATTAAATTTCAAAGTTTTATTTATCAGAAAACAATTTCAGACAAATGCCAAGAGATTAATGACATATGTCCTATCAATTAGTGTTTATACAGTAACTAGTGTTTAAGCAGTCATTAGACTTTATTAGTGTACGATTTAGTTTTCAATGACAGTCTATGTCATATATATTATATGGGCTTATCCCTCTCTTCACCAAGTTCAAATCCCCGTCCCTAAATTAGTGTGAGTTAACCTACTCTTTCTCGGGGAAAAAAAAATTTCCAATAATTTTGCTCACCAGCTTTTGTTTTGCAAATTAGAGATATAAGGAGCATATTTGGTTATGCACTTGAATTAAGATTTAACAACCACAAAAGAAAAAACAGATTTTGTCCTCCAATTTGTAAGTATTTGTTAAATTATATTAATGAATACCGTACCTTTAAAAATAATCTAAAAATAAATTAGAAGGAAACATGACACAAAAATGTTCAATATAAAAAAAAAAAAAAAAAAAAAAAAGAGAGGAGGGAATAGAATTACATACATCATAGGCTTCATTGATCTGGTGAAACTCAACTCCACAATTGTTTCCTCTGCATACGTCTGGATGATACTGCAATTCAACATAACCCAATCAGCCTAAAAAGTCCCACAAATATCACTTAAATTCTATAAATAAATAGAAAAAAAAATTAATTAATTGTGATTTTATAAAAAACAACTAAAAAGAGAAAAGTTAAAAGCACTCCAGATCAGTTAAAATTAATAAGAACATAGATTAGAGATTTATATTTAGATTTAGAAGAAAAATACAAACCTTCAAGGCAAGTTGTCTAAACGCCTTCCTGACCTCAGATTCAGAGGCACCGGGTTGAATCTTCAAAGTCCGGTAAGGATCGATCACGGAAGAAGCAACACAAGAAACCATCACCCTCTTATTATTATTCACCACCTTCTTCTTCCTTGCCTTGTCCTTGAACAGATTCCAGGACGACCCATTGCCCCCAATCACACCTGCTCCAACACACGCCATTCCCAAAATCTCATAAAACCCAATAATCCTCTGGCTATTCAAAAAAAAAAAAAAAAAAACCCCAATGATTTTCTTGGAATTGGAATGAGACCCTTTAACTCAAATCAGAGGGCTTTTTCCTTGAAACTCAATGATTGCAATTTGCTGAACAGAAAAATAGAGATATCAGCGAGAGAGGACTCGTTTATTATTATTATTATTTTGTTTTTGGTGGACGAGGACTTGCTTTTTCAAAAGGGAGGAGGTAGGGGTTGTGGATTTATAGGGGGAAAAGGGAAGTGAGAGGGAGGAGTGTCCGACTCGTTATCAATCAATCCACGGGGTGACATGTATTGTGTTGTTTTGTGGATTAGGTCCTAATTATATAGAGATAGAGGGTCCTCCTTCGCAAATTGCAATGCTTATCTGAATTTTTCCGAGTCTTCCGAGTAATATCGGGTCACTTCTTAGTAGGGTGGAACTTTTTTCAAATTACCATATCAACCGTATCATATTAAAGTTGTATCAAAAAATTTATACCATTGGTAATGGTATGGTATTTGTACGGTATCATATATTTTCGGTACGATAATGGTATTCAAAACCGTTACCAGTAGTATACCGTACCGTACTATTAGTATTAATATTATATCATTTATTTATTTTTATTTATTCATTTATATATTATTAAGTATTAGGGTAAAATACAAAAAATTACCTCGACTATTGGTGTCACGATACTTTCATACCTCATCTTTTAAAATTGACAATATCATACCTCATCTTTAGAATTTGATCCAACGTTATACCTTCAGTTACTTAGTCGTTTACTTTTCATTTAAATGCTAACATTATTTAAATATTATCTTCATTTTCTTCCCCCTACCTGCAAACCCAAAAAAAAAAAAATTTTGAAAACCCAACAACCCCCCTATAGAAGAACAAGAAGGAGAAGGAGGAGGAGAAGGAAGAAGAAGAAGAGGAAGAGGAAAACAAGGAGGAAGGGAAAAAAAAATATTCTCCCCCCCCCCCCCCCCCGGGGCCCCGGCGCGGCCGTCGGTGCGGAAGAAGAAGAAGAGAGAAGGAGAAGGAGGAAGAAGAAGAAGAGGAAGAAAAGGAGGAAGAAGAAGGAGAAGGAGGAAGAGGAAAAAAAGGAGGAAGGAAAAAAAAAATTTGGGTAAAGTACAAAAACTATGTCAACTATTGGGGTCACAACAATTTCATACCTCATCTTTTAAAATTGACAATATCATACCGCATCTTACGAATTTGTGACAATATCATACTTCCATCAATTTTTCTGTTAAGTTCTGACGTGACTTGATTCGGAACTTACTTTCTATTAAAATATTATTAAAAACTAAAAAACAATTATTTAATATTTTTTTAAATATTAAAATAATAATAAAAAGTAGAAAAAAAAAAAAAACCCTCATTTCGTCCCTCCCCTCCCCTCTCCTCTCCCCATCTTCATCTTCTTCCCCACCTGCAAATCCCAACAAAAAAAAAAAAAAAAATCCAATTTGTCTTCCTCCCACACCCACTCTTCTCCCTCCTACAACCCAGAAAAAAAAAAAAAAAAAAAAACTCAGATCTCATCGGCGGGAAGATGGGTGCGCAGAGAAGGTGGACGATGGGTGCGGAAGAGGATGTGGAGAATGGATGAGAGTGGTGGATTTGGGATTTGGGATTTGATGGGTTTTCAAAAATCTTTTTATTTTTTTTTCCTTCCTCCTTTTTTTCCTCTTCTTCTTCTCCTTCTCCTTCTTCTTCTTCCGCAAGTGGGTGTTGATGGGTTTTCAATTTTTTTTTTTTTTTCTTCCTCTTCTTCTTCTTCCTCCTCCTTTTCTTCCTCTTTTTCTTCTTCTTCATCCTTCTCCTTCTCCTTCTCCCTTCTTCTTCTTCCGCGCCGACCGGGAGGGGGGTGCGCGGGGGGGGGGGGGGGGGGGTGGAATATTTTTTTCCTTCCTCCTTTTTTTCCTCTTCTTCCTCCTCCTCCTCCTCCTTCTCCTTCTTGTTCTTTCGCAGGGGGTTGTTGGGTTTTCAATTTTTTTTTTTTGGGTTTGCAGGTAGGGGGAAGAAAATGAAGATGGGGAGAAGAGAGAGGAGGGGGGAGGGGCAGGGGGAGGGGGAGGGGAGGGAGAACTGATGGTTGTTTTTTTTTTTTTTTTTAACTTTTTATTATTATTTTAATATTTAAATAATATTAAATATTTTTTTTTAGTTTTTAATAATATTTTAATGATTTTTTAATAGAAAGTGGACCCTAAATCAAGTCACGTCAGTATTTAACTGAAAAGTAAACAGCCAAGTAACGGAAGATATAACATTAGACCAAATTCTAAAGATGAGGTATGACATTATCCATTTTAAAAGATGAGGTATGAAAGTGTCGTAACACCAATAGTCAAGGTAGTTTTTTGTATTTTATCCAAATTTGTTTTTTGAAAACCATCAACTCCCCTGCAGAAGAAGAAGAAGAAGAAGGAGGAAGAAGAAGAGGAAAAAAAGGAGGATGGAAAAAAAAAAATGAAATTTTTTTTTTTGAAAACCCATCAAACCCCAAATTCACCACTCTCATCCATTCTCCACATCCTCTTTCGCATCTATCCTCCACCTTCTCTGCACACCCATCTTCCCGCCGACGGGATTTGTTTTTTATTTTTATTTTTTGGGTTGCAGGAGGGAGAAGAGTGTGGGTGTGGGTGTGGGGGGAAGACAAATTGGATTTTTTTTTTTTTTATTTGTTTGTTGGGATTTGCAGGTGGGGGAAGAAGATGAAGATGGGGAGAGGAGAAGGGGGGATGAGGGGGAGGGGAGGGACGAAATGAGGTTTTTTTTTTCTACTTTTTATTATTATTTTAATATTTAAAAAATATTAAATAATTGTTTTTTAGTTTTTAATAATTTTTTTAATAGAAAGTAGGTCCCGAATCAAGTCACGTTAGAAGTTAATAGAAAAATTGATGGAAGTATGACATTGTCACAAATTCGTAAGATGCGGTATGACATTGTCAATTTTAAAAGATGAGGTATGAAACTGTCGTGACTCCAATAGTTGAGGTAATTTTTTGTACTTTACGCTAAGTATTATTATCATTATATATGCACTTTATATTTTTCTAGTCATTTATCCAATCATCTCACCCTCTAACCTTTACTTTCCCAATAAAAAAAACCTAAGCCTTCTTGTGCTGCAACTCTTCATCTTTTCACCCATCTAGCCATCGGCTTCATCTATGTTGCTCTTGTTCCGGCAACTTTCTCTCTCTCTCTCTCTCTCTCTCCACAGTCCATCTCATCTTCTCCTTCATCAAATTGTGATGTCTTTCTCCCTGGCTTTGTCTATCAAGTTAATTTTTGTACAATTTTAAAGAATGTAGAGATGAAATTTAGGAATCTTGTTACTATTTTTTTTAGAGATGTTAGGTTCTTTCAGCAATTCTTCCATCTATTTACTTCTTGTTTCTTAAATGAATCTTTATAAAATTCTCATAATTAAATAAAAAAGTTTTAGAAACTCAAAGAGAGTGGTCAAAACACGTTTGGGCCTTGAATTGGGTTGAAAAAAAAAATTAAATTTTGGCCTAAAAGAATGGCCCAAAACAAAGTAGTAATTACTATTACAATACCATGTCAAATGAATTATTTGGCATGCCAAATTTTGGTATACTGAAAGTTTGGCATGGTAATGATAATAGATTTTGTCATACCAAAAGCTTGGTATGGTAATTGGTACATGAGTTTTGGTACGGTAATCGTACCAATACCACCCCTACTTCTTAGCTGTACAGTTTAGAGATATTCTTTTTTATTTGAAAGTAAGAAATTTTATGTTCAATTCTCATCAAAAATAAATTTGAACCTCATTATTACTAACTCATTGTGAGGCTAAATCCACATCATTTTCTTAGTGTAAATGACATTGTTTGTTTCAGAAAAAAAAAAAAAAAGGGAGGATATTCTTTCTTCTGTTTTTGAGTTATTCTTCTTTAGCTACCCCTAATTTTAGTACTTTTCCATTTTTCTTCTACAACTCATTGACTAAATCCAACTTTTCCATTTATTGTTGATGGGTACCTTTCATTTTAATATAATCTTTTAATGATGTCCATCGCCCCTTTTCTTTTGTTCGGAAAATTTTGAAATATCATATGAAATTATACACTTCTTCCCTTTCAAATGTAAGACTCCTGTCGTCAGCAAATGTTCGTATCATGCATCGTGAATAGCTATGTCCAATAATAAATGAATTGTGAAAGCCACAAATAAACCAAATTTCCCTTTTTTGCTCAACATTATTGGGGAGTTGACCAAAATGATCATAAAATATCATTGTTATAAAAAAATCCATCTAGCCCTGCTTTGGCCCTGCCTAGGCACTAAGCCGTTGGTCATCGCCACGATTAATCTCAAGGTGTTTGAAAATTAAGAAATGACACATAAACCTATCTGAGTACAATTATGTATTTTTTTACTTATAAGTAGACATTTATTTATATGTTATATAATACATTTAATTAAAATTAAAAAAATCTAGGCCCCCGCCCAGACTCCTAAGCGCTAGCCCCTACTCGTCGCTCGACTAACGCCTAGTGCTTTTAGAACCTAGCTAAATACATTTTGAGAGATCTCTTCCAAATCAGTTGTATGGCTATCAAATCGTGTGGATTAACGTGTAGGTTTTGGAGGCGAATAGTAGTGTTCCATTAGCTATTGAGTCAGACGAACTCAAATTTTAAGTTGTGTTCATTGATGTGATATAAAATAACACACAAATTAAACCCTATAATTGTAGTATGTGTAAGCAGGGATAGTTCTAGGCGGGGGATTAGAAGGGATGCTAATCTACGCAATTTAAACTCTAAAACACTAAACTAGACTTAAAAACAGAAAACTAGACTCTAATGACTTAAAACAAGCTAAATAGACTCAAAACACACAAACTAAGTTAAATTGACTCAAAACAGGTACTAGAAAGTGATTTGGACGAAAATTAAACTGAAAAGACTCAAAATACTAAATGGGGACAGATTCTGACGAATTTAAACTAAACTAACACAAATAAGAACTAAGGGGGTATTTGGACGAATTTTAAACTTAAAACAAACAAACTTGCAGAAACAAAGTAAAAGGGTACGAATTTAGGTGAATGAATGGGTGAAAGGCTAGTTAGAGGGTCTTTCTCCACACATGACACATATGCAACACAAAACGGTTTCCAGTTATTATTCCTTTAAACCATGTATGACAATGCCCCAAATTAATCGTGAAAAGCACAAATTAACTTTCAGATTTTCCTAAATTCATTGAATTGGATGGATAACGCATCGGCAACCAA